CTTGATTGACTCATTGTGTTTTGGGATTTAACCTAAATCTAGTCTCTATTTCAAATGATGTGTTAGGCAGACCCATTTCATGTCAACTGTGTTTTCCCTCTTTGGGCACTCAGAAGAAAAACAAATTAAATCCTTTCATTCATCTCTAATCTGTACTGGGTCATCAAGATACAGCCTATGCCTGCTTTTTCAAGAACTTTTCCACCATGAACGATAAAACCATCCTTCCTTTCTTTGGTCTCTATATCTCCTTTAGGAGCACTGAACACTCCTAATAGAAACACCCCTCCACTTACATCTGTACCACCACTGTCAGGAGAGGCATAGTGCGAAAAGTCCTTCCAATAAGAATCCACCACCCTTGAACTCCACATCATCACTGATAGAACTTATTCTTGAAAGATCTCTCCCATCCTCTTGGCTACATTCTAATATTTACAGTCTTGCCACTCTCATTTTCTTTGGGTTCTTGTGATCTCATTGAACCCCGTATGTATGTTTTTATTATAACCACAAGAAACCTAAGGCTCTTGGGTGATTCACAATTCCCTAGACTATCATCTTCCTTTTAGAAATCCATTTCCCACCTCTCCTATGTCCAGGTGCTCTTGAACTTCAAGGTCAATTAACAGAAAAATGTCCTATGTAATCTCAACCTCTTTTCTGAATATTCACTTAATCTTCTAGTTCTAACAGAAATCTGACCTCTGGGGAAATGGCTTCCCATTGTGCCCTCTCAAGTGGTGGCTACCCCTTTATATTACTGGACATGGTGGTGGAATAGGTATCTTCTTCTCCTTCCTTGTTGCTCCAGAATTGATTTTCATAGTATCTGACTACTACCTACTTCCCATTTTTGTTATAATCATCTATCTATAGATTTCCTTGTCATTTCTCCTAATTTACTGAAAACTTTACATGTGGTTTACTATCAGACTCTCTAATACAACTCTACTCACAAATCTTGATGATTTAAATGTCCATGCAGATGATCCTTTGAATACCCTGGTGTCCTCTCTTTTCTACAGATCTTGTCTTCCACTCACTTCCACCACACCAACTGAACCCCTCCAGAATCCCAATTTCAAATTTTCTACTCTTCCAGTTTCATTGTTTACTTCCTCTAATACTTCAACTCAGCAATCTTTTGATTGGAATCTAACATTCATTGATTCTACTAATTTTTTTGTGGTTTCTTATATCCTTTATGTCCACATTTCATTCTTATTCAACTTAGTCTCCAAGGGCCATTATTGTAATCACTTCCCTTCAAACACCCTCCACTTTATTGCTCCTTTCTTTGTTATATCACCTGAAAAAAACCCAACTTTATTAAGTCCAACCTTCTGCCTATTTCATTAGTGCTGCTGGATAAGCAACTAGATAAATACAAAATCCTACTCATTGGTCTCATTTAATTCACAATTACTAGCTTCAGGTTGACAATCCTGCTACATTTCTCTAGTCTCCCCCCTTCTAGACTACTTTTCCTCTATCTTCAACATTTCAACGCCTCCTTAACAATAGTCGTGGCTGATGACCCTGCTTTCTATTTTCCTGAGAAAACAGAAGCAATCAGAAGAGAATTTTTACAAGATCCCATCCATATCTCATAGCATCTGCCCATAAATTCTCCTATCCTCTAGTCACCATGGTAAGTATCATGTATCTATGTAAGAACAACCCATCCACTTGCACACATCTTATACAGTATCGATTTTTCTCCCACTTCCCTGGATTATTTCCATCAGCATGCAATGTGTGGCAATTTCTCCTAGCTTAAAAAAATTCCTCTCCAGTGCCCCATTTATCTATGCCCTGTTATTACAAAAATCCTTAAAAGATTTATATATACTACTGTCTCGAATTCTTCTCATCCCACTCTTTCTTGTGTCCTCCCTAATCAGACCACTAACTTATCATTCTACTGCTACTTCTCCAGCCAAGATCTTCAGTGTCCTCCAGATTACTCCAAAGGTTAATTTTCAGGTCTTAGGTGATTTGACCCTATCAGTATTATTTGACATATTTAATCTCCTTTCCACCTTGAGAACACTTTCATAATCATAATCTTCATTGAAAAGTCTAGTCAGGTTTAATGTAAGTTGCTATGCAAAGTCCCAGTGGTATCAAATTTTGAATTAGGAGGTATTCACCTCTACATGGAAAATACTGGAAGGAAATGAAACAAATAAGAAGAAGGAAGACCCAAATCTTGTCTTTAAAATTGATGATGCCCACATTTTAGCACAGAGGTCTGAAAGATAGAAAACAAATTTTAGAATTCATGTAGTCCAACACTCCTGTTTCACAATAAGGAGGACACAGGCCCAGAGAAGAGTAGTGATTTCTCCATTATTACAGAGTGGCAGAGTTGGGACTAGCACCTAGGTCTTCTGCCTTGAAATGCTTATTTTAATTTAGTACCCAGTTTGCACTGCTTTACCTCTGACATATATATGTATATATATGTGTGTGTGTGTGTATTAATGAATACTTTAGAAGCATATATATGTAGATACATATATAACTATATATGCAAACAACATAAATACAATATATATGTATACACACATAGAAATATAGCATATATATACATATATACACATATATGCACACATGTAACATCTATGTATATATACTTCTTTCATATTATTTTTTCCTGAATGAAATAATTGTTGGGAAGAGGTCATAAACTCCCTTTCTGCCTGCTGCTCTCCTCTCACATAGTCAGTTATCCCTACTTGGCTTCCCTGGGATCCATGTACCATGAAGACAGGCCTGATACTGAAGCAAAGGACTCTAGGAAGCCCTTGATTTAGCAGACCACTGGCTGCATATAAAACTCACTGCCCTGTACCAACTCTTCTATTCTGCTGATCAGAAAAGGCTGGATTGGGGGATTAGGGAGACTTAGCTTTAGTGTTGGCTAACTCACTGGGTGACCTTGGATCTTAGTTGAACAAATGAGGGGCTGTATTAGGTAAAGTCTTAATTCCTCCCTTCTACACTGCAGTGTCCCCGAGGTGCCTATAAATTCTTCTAATCTTTACTCCCTCTCCATGACCTACTTCCACCTCATCTCTGAGCTTCTTGCCTGCCCAAATGTGTGCTATCTGCTTATCTGTCTTGGTCATCTGAGTTGACCTCTCTAGGTGGGATTACTGGACTCTATTATCTGGGGATTTTGCCAATACCCTTCCCATCTAATTAGACTCTTGGTTCAGGCTACCATTAGATAGCTACCTCCCAACATCTGACATGACATGAAAGAATGAATAAGCAATGGGGGAAAGCTGGTCTTATGAGGCAAAAGAAGCAGCACAAAAAAGCAAAAGAGAAAAAAGAAATACTAGAAGAGAAAGATGAAAACAACAGCATTGTGATGATAACACTTTCTGATACTGATTCTGGCCTAGAAGAATAGAAGACCATCTTAATATGTGACTTGTAACTAATAAGAGTATGGCATTTAATACTGATTAAGAGTCCTTCTCATATTTAAGAAGGTAGCAAAGAGCAGAAATTGGAGGCAGATAACTTTTGTGCATGTACAACTCATAAACATGGAGTATTTTAAAACCTCTAAGATTCTAGAAGTCTTAGATCACACTACTCTTTAATGGGCACTTTTCTTACAGTGATTTTAATATAAAATAAAATAGAGATTTTAAAATTTTGGCTCTCAGATACTCAGAATTGGATTATCACAACCTAAGATTCATAACACATTATCATTAGACAAAGCATGGCCTTTTTCATTAATGATATTTATTATAATATAAAGAATGACTGTGGAACCATTGCCCAGTCCAAGGACTAGAATACTTTAAAACTGCTTATATCTATCTACCTGTTTTTCCCTCAACCCATCCTCTGCCTTCCCTACAGAAGTAACTACCATGATCAATCCTGTTATTACTATTTCTTACTTTTTTACTTTTATCACATACATACATACATATGTTAAGTAATATGCTGGTTGATTTGCTTGGTACTGAACTTTATAAACAGGGTATCATACTGTGTTCATTCCTGTGAGACTTGCTTTATTCATTAGTTATGTTATTAAGATAATTCCATAGAACTGCTTTTAGCTGTGGTTCTTTCCTTTTCACCGTTGGATAATATTTTACTGTGTGAATATGTCACAGTTTATTCTTCCATTAACCTGTCAATGAACATTCTGGAGGTTTCCAGATAATTTTACACATACAAACTACTGTGGGACGTCTAGTACAACTTTCCTGGTGCCCATGTGCTAGACGATCTCAAGGACATGTTTCCAGGAGTGAGGTCAGTGGATAAAGGAGCATAAAAACAATCATCCTTAAGAGACAATGCCAAATTCTTTTTCAAGGTGATTCTGACATTTACATCTTCAAAAGTGTAAAAGAGATCCTGCAATCTAAATCCTTCCATACAATGTATTATCTGATTTTAAAATTTTTGTCAAATACATATAAAATGGTATTTCAATTCAGTCTTCATAAAAATTTTCCTGATTACTAATCTAGTTAAGCATCTCTTCATGTATTTATTACCCATCTTTTTTTTTCTATTCTTTAAAATGCCTTTTCATGTTGTTGGACCTTTTATCTATTAAATTTTTATCTTTTCTTAGTCATCTACAGGGCAATGCATATCTCTTTTCTCAGTTTGTATTCTGGCTTTCATTTTTTTTCCGAAGGTATCCACTGATGAACAGAACTTCTTAATTTTCATGTACTTCTAATGCTTTTTGTTTCTGGGTTAGGAAACCTTTCTCTTCACTCAAGTCAAAAGGAATTTTTAAAGTTAAATTTCTAACTTATTGTCACTATTGTATAGAAATACAATAAACATTTTTAAAAATTGATCTTGTGTCCAGTCACCTTGCAAGACTTCCCTGTTATTTCTAATAGTTTTTCTATAAATTCTTTAGGGTTTTCTATGGACATATCCATAACATCTAAACCAAAGGAGAGAAATAGTGGTATAAAAGAGGAAAGAAGAGAGAAATGGCGGAGACCGTGGCGGACACCCGGATCACCAAGCCGCAGAACCTGAATGATGCCTATGGGCCCCCCAGCAACTTCCTCGAGATCGATGTGAGCAACCCTCAGACGGTGGGGGTCGGCCGGGGCCGCTTCACCACCTACGAAATCAGGGTCAAGACAAATTTGCCTATTTTCAAGCTGAAGGAATCTACCGTTAGAAGAAGATACAGTGACTTTGAATGGCTGCGAAGTGAATTAGAAAGAGAGAGCAAGGTTGTAGTTCCCCCGCTCCCTGGAAAAGCGTTTTTGCGTCAGCTTCCTTTTAGAGGAGATGATGGAATATTTGATGATAATTTTATTGAAGAAAGGAAGCAAGGACTGGAGCAGTTTATAAACAAGGTCGCTGGTCATCCTCTGGCACAGAATGAACGTTGTCTTCACATGTTTTTACAGGATGAAATTATAGATAAAAGCTATACTCCATCTAAAATAAGACATGCCTGAAATTTGGTGAGAAGGGGCAAAAAAAAACCACAAAAAACAAAAAACAAAACAAAAAAAAACAAAAACAAAAAAAAACACACCTCTCCGTGACTATTAATGGTTCATACGCACCAGTGAAGAAGTTCTAACTAACTCTCAGCATGCCGCACAAAAACTGGTATAACATGCCCTTGGTATACTAACATCCATACGCTCAGTTTGGTTTGGTTTGGTTTTGGCAGTTGACAAGAAGTTAATCTGCTTTAGTGAAAATCCCTCCTTCCAGCCTTTCTATATAAATAGCTCTTCCTTGCTGTTTTAATGTGGTCCCCATGATCGCCTCGCAGACCTGTTACTCCAGTATAACCCGCAGTGTCCTAACTAAAGTTACTGACTTGGTCTTATCTGCACAGTTTTTGTGTCCTGTTTGCTTCTTGAATCTGATTAACTAGAATATTTCTCTTATCTTTTTTAATATGTGATGTCCCTTGACCTAATTTATGTGTAGAAGCACTACACCATTGGTTTCCAGTCCCCTGTGTGTAAGATACACACTTGTGTGCAGAAAGTCTCCCTTCAGGCTTGTAATACCCTTCGCGTGGAAGATTAATGAGGGAAATCTTTATATTCTGTATAAAAACAAAATCAAATTTATATACTAAAATCATTTGTCTAAAAATTTAAGTTGTTTTCAAATAAAAAATAAAAAGGCAAAAAAAAAAAAAAAAAGAGGAAAGAAAATGTTTCTTAAAAAAAAAAAAGAAAAAACCCTCCCAAACCAAAAATACTTGATCACAAAAAAGGAGAGGATATTAAAAACAAAACAAAACACAGAAACATAAAAAATAAATAAGCTATGCATTCTTGTAAAATAATTAGAAGAAGAATAATATAAGAAAGATGAAAGAAGAAGATGATAAAAAAATAAGAGCAGAAATCAATAAAATAGGAATTAAAAATCTTAGGTTTAAAAAGGTTAAAATCAGTTCTTGGATAAGACAAGAATGATAAACCACTGGTAAGCTTGATTTAACCAAGGAGAACAGTTAAATAACTAATATTATTAATAAAAAGGGGTATATAACCACATATATAGTAGGAACTAAATAGATAATAACTAAAATCAATCAATTGGTATATGCCAATAAACAGAGACTTAGACTAAAGATCCACAGTTCCATACAAATTTATATTATTTATCAGAACTGACAGAAGATGAAATAGAAAGCCTGAAAAGCTTTATGGCTATTAATGAAATTGAAGCAATCATTAATAATCTTTCCATAAAAAATGTATCAGGCCCAGATATATTTATACATAAGTGTTCTCACACTTACTAAAATATCAGATCATTCTAACTTATATAAGTTCTTAAGAACAAACAAACAGGAAAAGAGGGAATACTCTCCACTCATTTTATGAAACCAGTATTTAGTAGTAAGGTACAAGAAAGTACAAGATAAAGAAAGCATAAGAAAATAACAGCACTGAGCTATTTTAACCCATTTAATAAAATGAATTAATAATAAATAAAATAGTAAGTATATAAATGGGTTAATACATATAGATTGCAGAAATCTTTAGCAAAATATCAGCTAACTGAATTTTTCAATATATACAGAATATACTGTGTTACAGATAGATTAAGTTTATCTTAATCTGGTTTAGGATTAGGCTGGTTTAATCCTGGTTGATTGAATTTTTAAAATATGGAGATTTCTTTTACCATAAAAACAATGAATCCTGGAACACTGAAAAGAAATTAAAAAAAATACATAAAAGTTTAAAAAAAGAAAAAAAAAGAACTATCTTTTACTTCATTAAGTGATTAAAGGTAAAAACCATATGATCATCCAAATAGATGCAGATATACTTTCTGATAAGAAATCAATATGAAAGCATGATTAAATTAAAAAAAAACACCTTCTTAGTTAACTAGTATTAAGAAAAAAAGTTCTCTACCCTGATAAAGTTAATCTACTAAAAATAAGAACAACAACAAAAAATTAAAATGAACATCATTATTCTAAAGGTGAAACTTTGGAATTAACTCTTTTAAAAACCAGCAACAAGACAAGAATGCCTATCATTACCACTTCAACTCAACATTGAAGCATACATGATTTTCAGAGAATCTCTAAAATATCAACCTTCCCTTTAAAACTAACTTTAGAAACAGGTGTTCTTAGACTCAAGGTATAGTGTCCTGAAAAGTTAGAAAGACTCCTCCCTCCCCTCAAATCATTATCAAGCTTCTTTTCAAAGATAATGCTCAGCATCATGGCACATTTTAACAGTCAATTTAAAGAATGGGGAAAAAAAGGAAAAGTATAATTTAACATAGTTGTAAATCCAGGAGCATTATCCAGGCTAAATATCATCTTGCTCTGGGACCATGGAATTAAACTCATTTTGCTTTCTCTTCTTCAACAAATGCAGAGCTTAAAGAGCTGTTTCAGCCCATAATTTTGTTCATCTTAGGATCCAACTGGTATTATACTGAATAACATTTGTAATTTAACTGTATTATGTTTGTGAACTTTGCACTCCAAGGAGAACTAAAGAGACATTTTATGGCACTGAAATGATAATTTTTTAAAGCTTTTTTTTTCTTCCTTTTGCAAAAGGTACCAGAAAATTTGTTCATTTATGCTTTGGGTTTTTAGAGAAGAGAATGACTTATTTCAGGGCAAATGCCTTTTATTCATTTGACTAATATTTATTAAGTGTTTCCTGTGTACCAGGCACTATTCTAGGCACTGGAGATGTAACATTGAACAACATAAAATATTCAAACTCTGTGTTGCTTTAATGTCCAGAAACACATGAGTGCTGTTCAATAATAAAGGGGTGAGTCCAGGAGGTCCTAGAATAAGTATCCCCTGTAGCACTATGTGCTTTCCTTCTCTCTCTGAAAACCTTCCATTACTCTATTTTAGGTACCAGTAAAGTATCTGGGTTGATCACCTTTCAGGTTTATTTCACTGCTTCACACCAGAGCTACACTTCACTAAGTCTTCCTTGATAAATTGATTTATAATAATAGCAATAGCCTCCATTGAAAGGGCACCTTTCAGAAAGGTATGTTGCATATACTGTCTCATTAAAATGCTGCAGTTAGGTATTATTTGATGGATGATAAGCTGAAGCTCACAGAAACTCAGTGATACCACACATTATAAATAGTAATTCAAATTTTTCTGGCTCTAAAGAATCCACGAACATTTTCTAGTATGTCTGGTTGGCCTATTTCTTCCTTCCTCCTTTCCTCCCATCCTTGTTTGTTTGTCTCCTTCCTTCCTTCCCTCTTTTATTCATGCAGTCATTCTTTTATTCACTATCTCAGAAAATGCTGAGTTATATACCAAAGACAATTTTGGATTTCATGTTGTTCTCCTGAATGCTGAGTGTAGTCTTTATTCACAGTCCATCAATGCATGGATTTTTCCCACCTATGTTAATACTGTACAACCCAAATGGTTGACAGAGTCTCCTTCCCTCTTCCCTCACCAGTGTATGGTACAGAAAAACTCAATTTAAAAAATTAAAAAAAAATTAGAGTTTTTTTCCAATAGAATAATCTCATTTGTAAAATGGTGCATACCCAGATTACCTACTAATGGGGGAATCCAAGCAGAGGCTGAATAAGGATAAGATGAGGAAGGTTCACTCATTCATTCATTCACTCACTCATTCATCAAATAAATATCCACTGAATGCCAGGAATTATGAGCCTATGGCACAGAACAAACTCTCTGCCCTAATGGAACTTAATATTCCAGTGAGAGGGAAGATATACAAGAGAACTTAGAAATTCTCTTCCAACACAAAATCTGTAGGTTATTAGAAATGGGAAGAAGAAGCAGAAAGAGAGAAAGGTAAGTTTTTTGTTTGCTGTTTTTAAGGAAAGGCTGTAGGACAGATTCAAATTTAAGGGCAGATTCTGGGAAGAGCAACAGCAAATCCAAGCCTGTTCATCATCCGTGTTATGTGCTGGTCCTCTGCTCACCTTTCAAACTCACTGGCACACATAGATTACAGCTACTGCCAGTTGGCACCACCTTTCTATTATAAATTACTCTCATAAAACCATATGTCCTTCAGTTCTGCTAACTGCTGAGGGGGAAGGCTGGCAGTCACTGCGAGTCACTGCCCTCTTCTGACCCTCCCTTCAATCCCCAATCCACTCACTTTTCCATAGGAGAAATTCTCCTCTTTTATGCCTCAAACTTGATTCTTCAGGGCTCTCCCCAGCACTGACTACTTTCCTCTTTTTGCTGGTAACCCTGTTGGCACTCAGTCTCAAACACATAGACCATTCAGTTACCCAGCCTTTCAATGAACATTCAATTCAATAAGCTCTTGCCCTGTGCTAGAGATTCAGTATAAAAGGTCACAGTTCCCACCATTAAGAAACACGTAGGGGAGACAGATGAGGATAACATAAATTTGATGGTCATGGTAGACTAGAGTACCACGGAATCACAGGGAGGGATATTATAAGCCTATAAGCTTAGATACAGAGTTCTGACTTTGAAATGATCTCCACTTGAAATGGGAGCATTAGTCTTTATTTGATGGAGAAGTAAGACCCTATGATAACTCATGATGTAAGGTCACAGAGAAGGAGTTATGACAGGGGACAGGCAGGCATAGATAGGGATGGGGGGGTCTGTGTACCATCCTTTTGGGAAATTCTTTCAATGCAGATGGCCTTATTAGTGGTTTTTTAAAAAATCAAGGTATAATTTTCATACAATATCCTATAAGTTTCAGGTGTACAACATACTGATTCGATATTTTTAGGCATTACTAAACTATTCACATGGTAAGTGTTGTTACACCCCCATGACTTATTTTATAACTGGAAGTTTGTACCTTTTAATTCCCTTCACTTATCTCACCTACCTTCCAACCCCTAGCCACTCTGGTAACTGACAGTTTATTTCCTGTATATATGAGTCTGTTTGGTTTTGTTTGTTTTGTTTTTTAGATTCCTCATGTAAGTGAAGTCATATGGTATTTGTCTTTCTCTGACTTATTTCACATAGCACAATACCCTCTAGGTCCATCCATGCTGTCCCAAATGGAAAGATCTCATTCTTTTTTATGGCTGAGCCATATTCCACTGTCTATCTGTACCACATCTTCTTTATCCATTCATCTAAAAATGGAC